GCCAACCATGTGACGTCTATGGTACTCACCTAGCGGGCCGGGCTCAGTGGGTTCCGTCTGATACGTATCTGCAAGATGAGAAATCATAATTAATATGTGACCGCGGAAATCGCCATGGAAACATCAATCTGTGATCGGGGACAGCGCTCCATGGAAACCCCCGGGAGACCTGAAAGAGGAACTGTCTGTGTTACCCCCCCAGGGGCCATCCACACATTACAGTGTATAATATTAGATGGAGGGAGGAAGGCGAGACCCCCCTGGCAGGATGTGACCCCATTAGGAAGATTCCCCTCACTTCCTGTTCCAGTGTCACAGCCGGCTTCTCACTCTCATCCCAGAGAGCCGACAACTGGCAAATCGACATTTCCTGTCAGGTATTTACCGAAGGTGGGGGCGGGGATGACCTCCTGCTGGCTCTGCTGCTGCTGCTGCGGGACGAACGGGAAGTGGTCCTGAGACTGGTGGAGGTCCGGAAAAAGTACAGAGGTGACTAAACAACAAACACAGCAGAGTCTGCAGCCTCGGAGTCACACCAGAACTTCTCACCTGTAGATGAATCGTAGTGCTGTGGGGCTTCATACTGCTGTGCCACCATCCCTGCAAACAGATACCGAGAATGTCACCCGGCATACGGGACAAGGGAAGTGGTACTGTGCAGAGTCCATACATACAGAATAAGAACAGATACCGAGAATGACACCGGGCATACAGGACAAGAGAAGTGGTACTGTGCAGGGTCCATACATACAGAATAAGAACAGATACCGAGAATTACACCCGGCATACAGGACAAGGGAAGTGGTACTGTGCAGAGTCCGTACATACAGAATAAGAACAGATACCGAGAATGACACCCGGCATACAGGACAAGAGAAGTGGTACTGTGCAGAGTCCATACATACAGAATAAGAACAGATACCGAGAATTACACCCGGCATACAGGACAAGGGAAGTGGTACTAGGGAGGGGTGCTCACTGCGCTCAGTCACGGCCGCACTGATAGCTGTGACTAGGAACCTTCCGCCTCGGCAGCGCAGTTACTCACGGCAACCAGGAGCTGCCTCTCAGTGCAGAGCAGCCAGGACTGTGACAGGGGTCACATGGCCAACAGGACAGGGGTCACATGGCCCTCAGGACAGGGGTCACATGGCCCTCAGGACAGGGGTCACATGGCCCTCAGGACAGGGGTGACATGGCCAACAGGACAGGGGTCACATGGCCAACAGGACAGGGGTGACATGGCCAACAGGACAGGGGTGACATGGCCAACAGGATAGGGGTCACATGGCCAACAGGATAGGGGTCACATGGCCAACAGGACAGGGGTCACATGGCCAACAGGACAGGGGTGACATGGCCAACAGGACAGGGGTGACATGGCCAACAGGACAGGGGTGACATGGCCAACAGGA